TGGCCCGCGTGGCCCCGTCGTGCGCAACACGCTATTCGTGACGGCACGGATTACACGCAATTCTTCACGCGACTTTTTAGAGGGGTGAGGACGCTGCCGCGAGCTCGCGATGACGAATGAGATATGTCCGGTCGCGACGTACGTTAATGAGATCGGACGAAATGTGTACAACTGCACTGCGCAGTGCGGTATGGGTGCAGTGGCGCATACGTTCGATTTTCTTATGAAAGGGGGGGAGGTATTTTATTGTATACATACGTAGTTCCTTTGCCGATATTAAGTGTCTTTCTTCTTTTTTTTTATTTCTTCGAGCGAAAAATTTATGTTTTTGTGATTCCATCATGATTTGCAAACGCCGCGTTTTACATGCACGTTTAAATATTCATGACGTGCATATTTTTCATTCTAATCATTTCGAAACTGTTTTTTTTCTTCGTCCTCGGGGGGTTTTATCCCGAAATACCCTCCCCCCTAAATTTGTACGCCGCTGTTCGCGTACTTTAAAAACACTTGCGTGTGAAAAACGTTACTTGTAGCAACATCTTATATATAAGTCACATTAAAGTATTCGATATGAACCTAAGCTTCAGCCTCCCCTCTCAAATCTCTAACACTATTTGTGTCTACGGGTCTCACACATAATAACCAGAAAACGGGACGATATACAACGCTCTGTTTCTCTTTTTACTGTCCATTATTTCATCACGCGGAAAGCACCGAGAATCCAACGCGAGTAAATCGTTTCAATTCAGTACACACTTGTATGGGTGTACAGAACCGTTGATATCGTTGACCTATGATTCCGTCATTATCGATCACACTGTTCGAGAACATATAATATTTAAGCGAATATGAGAATGCACTCGATTTATCTGTGCCTCGAACGCCGACTGAACATTTTGTTTAAAACGAAATCACTCTACGCGTCATTTTGTCGTAACGTACTTATTGTCTCCGGTAAAGTACTCGAATGAATCGTTCGAAGCAATTTTAAAATAATTATATTTAACCTTGTGTGTTGGCTGAAATAGAATTACTAAAACTCGACATGACAGCGGTGGCGTACGTGGTCCTATAGTATGATATTTTGCGAAATGATTTCATTTTTTATTCGGCTCAACTGCACACATTGGTACAGTCGATGATTTTCGTTGTGCCTCGTGTACAGTCGAACACTGGAATAAGCAAAGTAATTCAAACGACCGAAAGTTATAGTTTATAAAAAAAAATACCGCGGTTACAAACGAACTGGGACAGGTTTATAAGAATTCCGTGATAAAATTAATATTAATATTCAGTGGGCCCCACTTGTCGTTAAATATTTTATGACACAAGAGCAAGATAATTCTTTGAAAATTACAGACTTCCGTCCTCTTCGACTTATTAATTCAAAACTTATGCAGACACGATCCCTATTAATTTACTGGAACTCGAGAACCAAACGACAACACTTACGAGTGAACTGTTAACTGTTCCTTCAACTTCGTGTAAAAATACCGATCGTTAAAAAAACATAGTATCAATATTGATACTTTCGGTATTCATCTTGTATTTTTTTTAAAAAAATATAATGGAGGCTTAGGTTGTATTAACAATAATATTATACTAAAGACAATAACAGTTGTGTTACATGCTAAACGAACACATATTGCAATCCCCCACAACTAACTATTAGCACATTAAACTATATCAGTTGATGAACTGTTACTTGCAAACGTTAGTGTCAAGAATTGATGTTGCCCACATCACACCAATTATATGGCCGATTAGTAGGCAAACGATTGGGGAAAGATTCGAGTACCGAAAAAATATACCGTCGTCGGTATCGTGATCACCGTATATATATTTTTCCTGCGTAGTTTAGTATCTTCTCCGATGTGTGATCTATGCTACGAGTAACTATGTGTACGTCGCGGTGAACCTTTTGGAAGTCGCATATTCGATTGCGAATCGTGCACGTATTTAAATGAAAGGATACTGCTGTGCCGGCATAAACTCCGAGCCCGAAGTGAGTCCGTTATTTAGTACACAAGTGATTTGCGTTATCACACGTTTAATTTCTCGTTAAAATCGGTTTATGTTGCTGACTTTATACCAATGACAGTACGCAGACATAGGCTTTAGCAACGGTTCTCAAACTGTGAGGCGTGCTTCTCTTAGTAGACGCAAGGCTTATATTTATATTGTACCTATATTGGGTACTACCATATATTAAAAAATAAATAAAAAATGTTTTATTGGGAGACGCGACTATTTATTTTATTTTTTGTTTTGAGAATGCGTGATCAAAAAAATATTGGAAACCGCTGAGCTATACGGCTTTAGTCTTACAACCTCACTTATTTTATTTTTTCGTTTATGATACTTTACAAAATGTTTTTCAATTTCATAAATAAAAGGAGATACCTCGATTTTCCGATCTTGTTTGTAACAAAAATAATAATGTATTGAGAATATTATATAAATATATTTTTTCATATCGAAAATGCTAATACAAGTAATTTAAAACATTGTATAGACTACATTGATTGGTTATAATTCCTATTTATGATAATTTTTAATAAATACTAAATCGTAAAAATAATTTGTCAATATTATTAAGTGCATTGTATAATCAACAATCAGACAATGAAAAAAATCATTAAATGTTATTGGCTAAACTCTTAAACTCGAAGAATTATTTTTCAGTTTTTCTCACATAACTATATTTTTATAAGAATTAATTATGTTTGTAATCAAAAAATCTGGTTTATATTATCCGGCCTTATAAATTAATAAACACTAATAAATGGTCGTTCCATATAATAAATTATTTCGAAAAAAATAACAATAATAAAATAATAAAATATTAAATAAAAACTAATATGCATTAAATGGTTGATACTCGTAAATTAATTTAAAAATAAATAAACAAATATTTTTTATATAGAAATAAATAAATGCTTACAAAACATTTATTTATTTATTTATTTATTTATACATCAGAAAATACTTTAAGAACTCTGTAACTCACGAAATAAATTACTCAATCTCGTTTCTGATGGCTTTTTGAAAATGATAAGAAAAATAAATATCATGTTAAACATACATATTATTTATATTTATTAGGAGATCTATCGATTAACTGTTGTAAGTTTTTTTTTATTTTTTTTTTTTTTTTTGGGGGGGGATACTTAAAAGTATTTAACTATACAAAACAACGATAATACTTATCAAAAATTAAAAATTAAACTAAAAATAATAACGAAAAAAGGTGACATGGGTAGCGAAAAATGTATGGTAAGAAAAATGGGTCGTAAGTCAAAAAGGTTAAAGACCACTGGTCTAACCGATATTCGCTGCGTACCATTACTGTTTATGAATAAAATATATTGACAGTTTTAAAATATATATAAAACATGTTTTCCATACCCTTAGACCACGACCACGATGAGTCACCACGGAATCATTATTACAGCGGTAATACGGTATGTTTTATCATTCTAATGAACATCGTATTTTTGTCAGAAAACATACATGAAACGTCCCATTTATTCGTGCCCAAATCGAATTCGACGAAGTATCATTATACATATAGTTTTTAATTCTACTATACTCAAAAATTCAAGACGCTGTTCCGGAACGTGATTAAAAATTAATCCACCCCACAAACTGGACTCGTCGAATTATCACTAATAATTCATCACGGAGAAATTAATTCGAAGCGGGAAGCAAAACCATGGACAACCTTTTGATCAAAACTAACAAAAGGTAACATGGGTTCATGGTTTACATTTATAATTTTGAATCTTACTCAATATTTAAATTTTTACTTATGATTCACATATTACGTTTAAATAGGTACTAAACAAACATGTTAATTTATTAGAGGGGCTGAAAGGAAACAATTGTTAGGTGCTTGTCTTTAAAAATGATATTTTTTCATAGTTTTAATAATATATTTTTTGAATAAAATCGAATTATTATTTTTTTTTTTTTTTAATACCAATTACAAATACACTAAATACTTTAATAGGGTACGTTATTATAATATTATTTACTTCATTTAAGAATATAGTTATTTTTTGTAAAATTATACTACTAACTACATACATAAGTATAAGTAAGTATATATTTATTAAAACATTTACAAACATAAAAATAAACATTATTTATAAATATCTACACATTAAATGTGTAAATTCTTTTAACTAAGGAACACAAGATTTACAACATTAAATATTATGTTAACAATTCCAGTACAATATATAAATATAAATTTTTATGCAATAATATATTTATGCTGGTGGAATATACCACAGTTACGTCAGACACAATATTTTAATAACCTTCATCATACTAACATTAGCGTTTCAATTATTTTATAATATAATGATAATATTTTAATATTTATAAATTAACCAAATAAAAAGGCAAAAGTATCTAATACAAAAACAAAAAACAAAAATCGTATAATACTCATACATACCAATAGCTCTAAGATCCCTATATCGATTTCGTAGAAATTTAAATGACATAGTAGTGAATAGGCATAAATAAACTAACCTCTTTTTTGGGAAGTTAAAAAGATTAACAGCTTTCAAATTCGTAAGCAATATACATGATTTAGAAAAAATACAAACGGCTCAATACTAGTAAGTTTCCAAATAAAATATTATCTCTGAGATGCTGAGGAATAAATTAGTCTAATTATGAAAAATTTTAAAACCCTAGTCGAAAATGTTTTGCGAACTAAACGATTCCGACCACGATGATGAAGGACGCCAAATAAAATGTACTAAGAATTATTCCAATCATAATCTATTTGAAATTAGTACAAAATCCTAGACCGAACACAATGTTTTTGATTTTATTGGTAATGTATAAACGTAAAGAAAATAACACAATATCTTCGTTAAAAAAAAAAGGATTAATTGATTCATAAAAATATATATAACGTTTAGATTTAAAAAACTAAAAAACTAAAACTTGAATCTGGATTGTAAGATTGTAATATATATATATATATATATATATATATATATATATATATATATATAGAGAGAGAGAGAGAGAGAGAGAGAGAGTAGGAACGAAGATTTAGAGTCGATGATTACACGCCACATCCAACACGTCAATCGAAGTAATATTATACTATGCGTACAGAAAAAAAAAAAAAAAAACGGTCGACGCAAACTCTTGGTATTCAATATCACATAAAGAAATAGACATTGGTCCGCGAAAGAAGCACCGTAACAGCGAAACGCCGTAAAATATTGATCTTACGCGAAAACTTCGTAACGGAGAAAAACGCGTAATTGCGTATATAATAGTAGTACAACGCATATTATAAACCGAAGTAACAAGCTGCACAAAAACGATGAATATATACATATGTGTGTCGTCATGATATTATTGTTAATTGTATTTCTTTTTCGTACGAAAATCACCTGTAGATTATTACAAATCGTTTGTAAAATTCCCGTAGATTTTACGCAACGGAACAATAACGATGACCGTCGGTCAGTATAAACGCATTATACTCGCAGTCCGACGATTCTCAAGTCTCTAATATTCCTTAAGTGTAGGTAGTACGTATCGAGTAACAAAAACATATATACATAAAACGCGTATAAAACAACCTTAGAACTAAAAAATATCTCGTTTAATATCAGTCTGCAACAGGTACGACCGTACTTGTGGGATACTCCGAATGTCATTGACTCTTTTTATCGTCAACGGCGGACCCGTCGCCGTGCGACGACGATTGCGCACAACTTGAAAAGTCCGTCACGGTCCGTGGGGCCGAACTTTTGCTGCGGTCCAGCAACGCATCCATTTTCTCCGGATACTTCTTGCCGTACAGCAGGTATTCGGCTGGAAAATACAAAACGGACGGTACACGTTATTATATACAAGTCTGATGGTAAGGCGGTACGAGTTCTTACGAAACGTGACGCGACACTTTGAAAACTGATACAAATCGCAAACGTAAAAAACAACTCTGCCTTACCTAATCGTATCTCGTTCGGTTTGTCGGTCATCTCGCTGTAAACGACGGACGCTTCGGATTTCGGAAGGTTGTAAACGAGGTTTAGCACGTACTCAAACATTTCTTTGTCGAAACACTCACCGTACAACTGAAACAAATTGTGAACGTCAATAATGTTTTTCCACATCATACACCATGCAATGTGCGAAACATGAAAACACGTTCCAATAAATGTATTCTGATTGATACAAAGAGTTTTTAAACCCATTTATTATTATAAAATAAATTATGTACTACAGTATACAACGCAGGGACATATTTTAGGGGGGTGAAGGCGCGATCGCCTTCCCTGAATCCGTACTTAAGGAATTGATTTTATGTGTGATACACAGGTCAATTTTTTTTAATGTAGATCATTTTATAACGAAATCAAATTACGCATGGCTTTAAATATTGAATTGGACTTTTTGTCGGGTCCATACTTAGTGAAAAATCAAATAAAACACAAGTGTAACTTTCAAAACACAGAAAGGTGTTAAAAAAGAACTACATTCGATTCTAAGCGGAACCGGCATTAGATTAAAAAAAAAACCACAAATATTAAGAACTCACCTGATTTAAATATTATCAAACATTTTACTTGTACATTTTAAGCCTGAATTAAAGAAAAGATTGAGTCGCCCCCTTCCCTAGAAGTAAGTCTAAATACGCCCCTGATATAACACATAGTATGCATAGTGTACTATGCAGTATATATATATACGCGACGGCAAACACGTAGCAAAATGGCACGGGTTCAGTCGATTCTGTTTGGACGCGCCAATAAATCCTGATATGGTAATATACCGATGTCGAATAAGGTATAAAAAATTCAATACTAATATATAAAATGACTTATGTATTTAAATAATAACCTTTTAATAAAAAAAAAAACCAAAACTCAGCGCGCACCTCAATACAATGAAAATGTAATACGAATATTTATACCTTAAACGCCAATACGATTGGATCATCTTTGTGAGTGGCTTTCTGTAAAATGTATTCAGCCAGTAAATACTTTTTGAAGTCTATAGTTGACAGATTTTCGTCCTGAAAAAAAAACAACCATGATCTTACTAAATTATCATCGGTGTAGCAGGGGTAGTTACAAACACACGCAAAAAGAACGACACGAAAACTTGCACGAAAAACATGATTATTAGATAAGCTTACAGGCATATAAATTATGGAATCGCAAGAAAAAATTTTTTTCACCGAAGTTGAATAACTTACAGTAGATTGGTTAATTACTATTATATGTGTAGAAGAATTATTTTTTCTAACTTTAAACCCATATAGGTACTACTGAAGTTTTGATTGTTGGTTAGTTTTTCGAAAACGACAAAAACAGTGAGCAATAAAACCTCAAGAAATTTTCACAAAAGAACACTCAACTGAAGATTTCTAAATCTATTCAACATTATTTTCGGAAAATCTAGAGCAGTGGTTCCCAATTGGTGGTCCACGGACCCCCAGGGGTCCTCGTGTTGATTTTAAGGGGTCCACCGTTGTGTAGTACTGTAATGATTTTTTTATTTTATTTTAGTGCAATTAATATATATATTTAACAATATTACAAAAAGGATTGTCAAATTAAAATAAATCGTAATATTTTTTTCATTTTCATAATTAAATAAAATTGAAAAGTAACTATTTACAAAAAAGGACCAATTTAAGTTATAGTTAGAGGTCCATAGCTTCATAATAATTGAAAACCACTGATTTAGAGCCAACTGATAAAATGTTTAAGATATCAACGATCAATAATTTAAAACCGAAAAAGCGAGTAGTATAACATAACATTCTGTTTATATTCTACTTGTATAGAAATGACAAAACAATCGTTATGGGTGGCTTATCCTTCTCCTAGGAATTTCAAAAAGGAACATACATCTATAAATACGCATAAGTACATATAAATCCTTTTAAATTTGTTAGAAATAGACGTAGTTCATTGTGGATACATACGACTAAAACGTATTGAATAATTCAATTTATATTTACATGAAGAAATTATTAAGATTAGATTTAAATGTCACGAACATTTCTTACCACCTCTTATCATAGTTTTTTAAAGTCACCATAAAATTATGTTCGATTCCATTTCTGAAAATATAATGATTGATTTTTGCGATATACATTCACAGAATTAGAGATGGAATTGAAATGTACTCCCCCTCCTTGAAAATAAAACCAAATATTTATAAAATAGGATTGATTTTATTTTATTTTACGTTTATTTATTTCTATACAAAAAGTTATATCCGAATAGAAAGAATTATAAATAATATTTAAATTATTCGTATACCATTATTGGTAATATATTAATGTTTGAAATTAAAATATGAATATTATTTATAGATGAGTATCAAATTAAAATAAGTAAAATATACAATTTGTAATTATTTAAATTTTGTATTAATCACATGATTTATATTCTTTTTATTCAATATCTTCATAGAATCTTAACGATTGTAAAATGAACGACCGATAAAATATGTCGTTAAAATAGTTATTGAAATTTGAAATTTACCTTACCTAAATAATTATATCTAAATAAAAATTGCCATATCAATTATTTCAGCTACATACTCGCTCATTCTCATGCATAAGAAAAAATATTTATTGATTTAGGTAAACTAAACAAAGTAACCGATATCAAATACAGATTTAGTATATGATTCATTTTTTTTTTTTAAGATAAAATAAATACCTGAATATCCATACTAAGTTTTGTATAAAATATGTGGAAAAATCTATCATTAATTTTAAATATTACGTTAGATAATTTTCTAGAGTCGAGACTATAATACTCTAAATAAATTAATTCTACAATGAGTTTATTATAATCATATAATTCAAAAGCACTTTATCGTTTTCACGTCGGCGGCCACATAGCCTTTTTCATGCGGATGCGATAAATTAGACTTTTTGTTCGCGAAAAAAATAAAATGCAATCGTATACCAGTCGTTCATATATAGCGGTTAAAGCACAAGTGCACAATCGCATTACCTCTAGGTGCATTTTGAACAAACTGATTAATGAACCGTCCTCAACGGTGACATTCAAATTGTTCGCAAACTCGGCCAAATCAATCGGTTGCAATTCTCGGTTCTGAAACGACAGCATGTTCTTGACCAAAGCCGAGTCCTCGATCTTAATGCGTGTCAATCTGCAACGAAAAAAACGCCGAGGTTAGGTGAAAAAATTACTTTTGAAATGCGTGACAGAACAAAGTGCTTTCGGTCATCGTCTGATGATGTAACACACATGGAGTGCTGCCATATACATATTATAGACAACCAAAAAACGTCGTTCGCAAATACAATCGATATATTGTTATAATTACGATTACAGTAATTATTATTGTTATTACGCGGTATACAATTAATACCTAGTCGTTGGGAAGCGATTTATCATCGCGATCGTTGGTGTTCCCTCGCCAAAGTCATATGCTTACCACACATAATACAAGCCGATATGTATAAAAATATCCATTTTACTTTATACGTAAATACGTCAAGTATGTTAAAAACTTTATTTTCTCGAAACACCAGATCACTCAAATTACTATAAATACGTATTTCGAATCATATTTTAACAGAAAAATAATATTATTATTTTATCCTGTTCGTGTAATTTTCCTCGATATTTTTCCAAATCTATCCAATGATTAATATTTTTATACTAAATTTGAATTTCATCGTTCATTTTCAATACATAATATTAGTATCACAAAGGTATTTTTATAAGGGACTTATTGAATTTAATATTTTTTTTATACATGATAAAATTATATAAATAGCAATTTTCGACGTTTTTAGACCGTTTGGATCCATACCTTAATCTTATATAATATATACTCACCCAAGACGACTTCTAAGCCTTTCAATGGTGATTAAATTCGAAGTCATCGGCAGACCTAGTTGGCCAGCTTTTACAGCCACTCGACAATCGTCGTACGTGTAGTCTGCTGTAGGCACGGCCAACGCCCTAATGAAAAATGAAAAATCGGTCAAATTACGATTCTGCATACTATATTAACTCATGCGTGTAAACGGTACAATATAATTTTCGCGATTGTATAGTACTATCATTTTTTACTATCATATGTGTTACGTTTAGCTTTGTTATAACACGAACCATAGGAATACGAATACACGTTAAAAGTGCAATTACTGTTATAAGTATTTAAGTATAAGTATATTATAAGAACTGTTATACAATGAATAGTTTTACTATATGGTCACAGAACAAACATTTAAATTTAAATTATTTATCAATGCTGGATAAACAATACTGAACGGTATCGTATCAAAAAATTGAGTTTTACCTCGATCGATGATATGAAAAGGTAACGCTTTTCAGTCAACCATAAAATAGTATGCATTTATATGACTAGGCATGAAAATAATTATTTTCTCATAATTCATATTATGCGTATATTAGAAGCGGTTATGGTATATATCAAGTAAATATCTTAAAAACATGACCCGGATTTACATTTATACAAATGTATACAACACTATATACAACGTACTTGGCCATAACATTACGGACTCCTTCGGCGAAGGCTTTTGGATTTTGTTTTTCGTATTCGCTGGGTACGTACACCGGTAAGAACTCTACTTCCACCGTTGTTGTTGGTTGCGTCATTGTCAACCACAAAAGTTTCAGCCTGCATAGACATTATACAGTAAAGGGATTAAACACCGCGATGATTGAATGTTTCATTTTTCAACGCAATATTATATATCACAATTATTTTTAAGTCATCCTTACGCTCCGGGGCCATCCCACGTCCACGTGACTGTGTCCAATTTGTTCGGGTACCGTAACAGCACCGGTTGAACAGGCACAGCCGGGTAGAAAGCTCCGGGTTTGAACGTGATCAGACAAGATCGATTTGTACAGGTCCCTTCCGGGAATATGAGGATCTGAAAATGAATACACGTGAAAGGGCGTTTTATTCGAGAACTATCGATTATGGGAACGAAATGCACAAAATCCTGGGAACGTATGATAATATGATAATATGATAATCTATTAATAAAGACCGAGTGTGTTGAATTTCAATTAAAAATACCACTTTCCTCAACTGAATCAATAATAATAATATCTCAATACTTGAAATCGTATATTTCTATAAAAATTAATTTTACAATATAAGATATTATTAAATGTATAACAAATCATGATAAAGTATGTATATTATTCACACGTGCCCTTTTGTTACTCATGTGAAGATAAAATCAAACGATTAAACCATATGCTATGTAAGCAAGCACAGTTTTAGGTCCATATCTAATTAACAACTGTTTAAAATTCTTTTAGTGATAGTTCGTTGGACATAAAAACCATTTATTGGCTTTTTTTTTTTTCTAAAAATTTAAGACCCACAATTCTAAGTAAAATGAACGTGATTTGTGTTTCCTTTTTTTTAATATTTTAGAAGACTGCGTTGAAATGATCGCGTAGAACATATTTTTCGTGGGGTTAACGGCGGCAGTGCGCTATGATGATATGTCGATAAATTATTAAATATAATATAAATATCTTATTTCGAAACAATAATAATACTATTTCTATCCATAATCCATATATGTGATTGATCCGTGTCTATTTTCTCTATGATTCCACTTTGATAACCTAGTCACGATAGACCAACCAGCCGTTACTTATTATAATGCGTGCGCATGTAATATTGTACACAGCTAGCATATAAATCGAAATGAAATATTTACGATATGCCCAATGTCTCGTCACAACTGTAATTTTTTTTTTTTACCTGAGGCCAGTCTTGGTCCGATTTTACACGGCGAATTATCTCTTGTATTGTGTTATGTCTGGATTCTGGGTCATCTCTCCGGACATACACGGGTTGCGTGAAGTTTATTACTCCTGCGGAACAGTACAAAAATAATGACAACACTAATAATACTGGTGCAAGCACGGAAAACATACCTAATGTTATAAGTCGCTTCGCATGGATAAACTATACTCGATTCGTAATTATGTATTAATCATACACGATTCAACGAGCACATAGTTTATACACATACGTGCAACGTTTAATGCGTTTACAATATTAAATACAATGTGGGCCATCGTGTTTTTCCGTTTTTTCGGCTTATTTATTAAAAAATAAAAAAAAAACACGACGGCACACTCTAAAGTTCTCTAAATATATACAGAGAATACTTTAACTACGTTAGGAATAATTATTCTAAAAAAAAAAACACACACACACACACGCAAATAATAACAAAAATAAATTAAGGCGGTCTACACAATAACATTACGCGCATGCGTTATATTTTATTCTGTCGTTTTCATAAAATTTCGGAACGTTAGAATGGTTGTAATGAATATTATTAGGTATATAAGTAATGTACCACAGTCATTAAACGAAGTCATTTTTAAAGCTTAACGCATACGTGGTTCGTCTATTTCCATGATCATGTGTTGTTTTTTTTTTTTTCATAATATATTTTCACTATAAGTTGTGCTAGTAACACGTACTTCCGACCCAAGGGTTTAATGCGTCCTCGATCCTCGCGATGATAGAAGGGAAGCCGGTCACGTAACTTATACAAGAGTCAAGGAACGTGGAATGGGGAGCGACGACCAGTATAGGGGCCTCTTTTCGGGTAGCTTTAACCCCCTTAATAACGATGTTCATGCCACCGGCTAGGTACGCAAAACGGCCCACAAAACATATCCAGCGACGGAAATAGCTATAAAATAAAAATGTCAAAATAAAAATAAACAAATGAAAAAAAATATTTATACAAAACAAATAATATCTCATAGCACTATGTCATAAATATACTAGACATATATTATAACTAAAATACATTTATTATTATTAAAATTTCGACTACTTTTATAGCATATGCATTTAAATAAAAAATAAAACTTCTAAAACATTTATAATTGATTACATGTTTTGTGTACAGTAGTAAATAAAACGATCAACTGTTGAAATACAATTGTTTAAATACATTTACAACTTTTCGTAGATTTTAATGGTAGTCATTCGATCAGAATTAATTGAAAAATTGTTAAAAATTATAATGTCATATTTTTCAACATAGCTGATTACAATATATAAATCATTTTTTGGTTAAATTTATTTATTTATATTCAAACGAGTAGAACCTTATACATGGAATGTTTATAATATTTATACATTCGTCATATATTTAATCAAATTTATTATAATTTTATACTTGATCAATTCGTCTTTTTTCATAAAACAAAAATAAAAATATTATTATGAAAAATAAAAACGATAAAACAACCTTTGACTATTGAAACATATAAAAAATGTTCAACTTTCAATAATTTTTCAAATAATTAATCACACTTAACTTTGATAAAAAAATGCATGCTCAAATGTACTATTAAAAAGCGACATTATAATAAGCTGACAACTTAACTATTTTAGCACATACTGTGTATACATATAATTACAATCACAACATTAAAATTATTGGTTCGGAGTGTATTGTTGAAATACGCTTTATTATAATATATATTTGATAATATTACATCGATCATAAACTTTACGCGAACTGTTTAGATTGACATATTTTAGTAAAACAAGTAAATTATTTCGTTCTATCAATCGAAATAAATAGATAAAGAACTTTTACTAAAATCTTTATCTTTGATATTCGATGGAAATGTTATAGTTCTGAAGTCCAAAGTGCCAACTTTCCAAAAATTCGTTTAAACGCATATATTCGCCAATCAAAATGTGTATATCTAAACATTTATTACATTTACTGTTTTTTAATATTGTAAAATATATTAACATAATAATGTTAATCTTTCTGTTTTTTTTTTCTACGCCAGTAAAAAACCCTCCAAATCGTTCATAGTTTTCAAAATCTATTAAAAGAAAAATTGTGTTTACTGCTTGTAACGAACGGAAAAATAACACGGTGTGACATGAAGTAAGAAGGAGTCCAATAATAGCCATGTCGTATTGCTAAATCTCGTCGCTATATTGACAGCTACAAAATAAATATATATATACATTGTATTATAATGCCAAGTTTTTCACGTTTTCATTACCCGTGTCAAACAACGACAAATACACTCAAAAATGTAATTATTTACAGTAATTTAGCAGATATAATTTATTATTTTATACGTAAACATATCTATGTATGTACATTCTCAAAGTCGAATTTCATCGGAAAAGATAAATCGATAAATATACTCTAATATAAATTACAAAAATATAAATTATATTCTAGTAATGAAGTTGCTGAAGAAGGAAAAATGTATTAAAAATAAATTACAAAGATTACTAGATGAAATACCAGGCCTGGCCCGTGAAATATTTTATTACTTTATATTAGAATAATTACTATTTCGATGAAATAAAAAATGTAAGCCGAAAAAGGACATCGTATACATATTATATTTATTATTATTTAATTTAAATTAATTTATTTATCTCATACTACAATTGCAGTAATTATTAAAATTAATATATTTGAAAAAATAAAACATTTTCGTTGGTAATCAAAAGGCAAAAAATGTAAACATACCACAGATCTTTGGACACTTTAAAATGCGATTTTCGAAAAATCCTTTCTTAGTGCATCTCTACATAGTAATGAGCACATTCTCTCGACATTTAAAAATAATAAGTATAATAGCCGTACGTAGATCAGTGAGTGAGTGAGAGATATTTAAATCATATTCATAAATATCATAATAATTATCAAAAGTTATGTGGATGAATACGTCGACCACTAGAGCGCGTAGATGAACAAAACCACATTATTCGGAAAAAAGAAAAAGAAAAAACCGCAATCGTTCGATAATGTCATCGGTATACAATAAACAAATACTGAAGTGCAATAATTATAATAAAATTAAGAAGTATTCAATTACTATATAAATTCAATCACCTAATCCTGCATGACCTCTACGAGTTTAATTCATATTCTATTGACCATTGATAACATAAGACCTAATGAGTTCTCGTGTTTGTTCGACTGACACACGGGTTAATTATTTCATTATCTTTGCAGTGTTTTAACAACTCGCACACATGCAAAAGAGAATAAAACAAACAGCTATAAGCGGAGTTTAGCTCGGTGGAACGTTGCGTAATTACGGTGCACGATAAAAGTGCCTTATTACCGTTCGCTGTACCACGTCTACATCGTTGTCCGGCGTCTTCTAAGTTCTCGGCTGAAAAACCTAATCGAAACACACATCACGTTCCACGTCCGAACGTTTACAACGGGCACGCTTATCGAACCGTAAAACAGTCGTAATCCGCCAATTTTAATAACAGTTCTGACCGTTTTCTAAATTTTTTACGCGTGCAGTGCGCGGACACGTCTCGCACGTTATTATGCAATCGTCCGAGAGCGCATCACTCTCTATTTCTCGGACGAACACGACCTCGTACAACGCTACGACCATAGCAAGAACGAATATCTTTCCCAAAAATCAACGTACGTCATCATTTACGTAACTCATGAGACACCACCCCGCGTCTTGACTAAGCTCAAAGAAAATGGATTGATTAAATAAGCGATGCCGGAAAACCGCGAACCATAGCCATCCGTAACCGAACATATCACGGACTGCGAGTGTGTACAACGACCGTTGTGTGATAAGATTGAAAACCAATCACTGTACTTAGTTTACCTCCCGAATGCCAAACTTTTGTATAGGGTGGAAATAAGGCTATTTGTTTTTAACTTTTACCAATTTATCACAAATTTGAACTTTTGGACACTATATACATACTGTACTAGGGTCCCTCATCGCGTTTCAACATTACACTCCAAACGTACAAGCAGACGGCAACAAGTCGAGGGAACGTGCGTTCTAACTATACACTACAAGACGTAACACACTAAACGGCAAGCAAAAGCTAGTAAGCGGGTGAGGAGTACGTGGTGCGCGGGACAAGACCATGCTGAAACATATTAGTACAGCGATTCCCAACATAATTAACCGACGACGGTGTTCATTTCTAGACTGAACTCAGTTCCACGATGGTCTGCTGCAAACCCGTATCGTATTGACGGTAGCGGGGGGAGGAGGAAGGATACGTGGGATGGACCCCTTTCATGAACTCATTTGTCAATTATATTATATTTATTTGTGTTTCATGAATGTTTAAAATTCTTAAAAATATGACAGAAGTGTAAATGTTATTTATTATTTTTATGTATCTCGATCGAATCACGTTATAAATAAAAATATGTACACTAGAATAATTATAGTAATAATACATCGCATCGTCCTTGCCATAAAAGAAAAATCCTCGATACACCAAAGCTGCAGTGAACGTAAACGAAAAACGTATCAAGTCTGTACGTCTCATCTGCATATACGGGGATGGTGGGTATATGCTAGTTGCGAACGTATTTGTTCGGGCCAATAATATAATAACAGTTTATTGACCTGATTCACGTTTAATTGAATGACGGGAGCGCTGCGGGGTGTTCGCGGGAACCGCTGTGCCGGTAAGCCCCGCGCGTACACGTACACGTACACGTACACGTACATGGGACGACCGGTGCAGTGCGTGCGAACTGCGGTGGCTACGGTGACTATCGCGGAAGCGCGCGTTAATGTTTTTAGTCGGACGTCGCGTACTTCCTACGAACGGTATGGACGAGTTCTCCTCCTTGGCCACGATGGTGGGACCGCCAGTGATGACGGCCGCGAGCCCGTCGTAAAAGGACGAGTGCGGCGCGACGGCCAGCACGGGCGCCTGCTGCCGTGTGGCTTGCTCGCCGACGGTCCTGACCCGGTGGAAGCCCGCAGCCCCGAACATTAGCCGGACCACCACGTAAACCGCACGTCTGACACTGCTAAAAATGCAACAATCAAAAGCCCCGCCGCGCCGACACACCGCAACAATAACGTATGCTGATTACATGTGTACCGGTGACAACCAGGGTCTAAAATCGTGTGTATTAAAATAGACGCGATTTGTGTGTATCGTACGTAAAGCCGTGAGCGTGTACCGCGGGTATTAAGCCCGATAAACTTATTAATAAAAAATTAATAAAATTAAAAGTAAAAACCGCGACATTTTAAAAAGTGTGTAACACAAATTTATATATATATATTCACTGAAATATTATTAAAAAAAATGCAACATGGAAGTCGCTAAACGACGTTTCATTGGTCAGAATGTTTATTTTACATTTTTAATGAGTACCTACATTTATATTTTATGTAAAATACTTAAAATTAATTATTTTTTGGAATCACAAAAACGATCGCTTATATATGCAAATGTCGTATTCAACTCAATAAAAAAAAAATCACTTTTCATAAGGGTAATCCATCTTAATTTGTGTAGATATTGGGTACAAGACTACAAACGTCTAACAGTAGTGTGCAGTAAAAAAAAATTGAGAATTTCAGGCCCAGGTGAGAATATAACGTGCGATTATATAAACGTTCTTTTTTTTCAACGTTTCGTATTAAGTTCAATCAAGTGTAACAATAAAATATACCATAACAATTAATTGCGTTGATATATATTTATCTGCGTTTATATCGTAGTCGTTATAGGCAATGTGAACATAGTTTTGCATATAGTTTACGAAAATTTTTACAAATGAAAGGTACATCGAACAAGTTTTGTTAGATGTTAAGAGAACTGAGTTTTGTAAAAGTTAAGAAATATTGTCAAATGTAAGATATTAAACAATCTTCTATGTAATAAGCTATAGACGACATTTAATACAACTATATTTCTATATTTCTTTTTTATTAATATCATAATAAATAATAACTATTCGACATTTCAAGTGGTTTCGAAAATATATAAAAGCATATTTTGATTATATCATAAGTATAAACGTAAACATTAACCAAATTTAATGCACTTATGAAAAACCGACAAATAAAAAAAATCGTATATTGCAGGAAGCTTTTAAGCACGGACCATCGACGCTTATTATAATGTATAAATATTTAAGGTATGCATGCAATGAAAGCCGATCCGTCCATGATAAATTATAATTAACCTTTTCATTAAGTATACTTAATCATAATTGATTTCGATTTGACGTTCAAGAAAACGATAAATAAATTAAATATTTATCATCACAGTGGATTATAAAGCACCGTAAAAATAAACATTCGCAATGCTTAAACGGATTTTAACGTGCATGTCCATGATTCTAAAACTACACAATAATTCGTCTGAAATAAAAAAATTCGTATTTATACGTTTTTTACATCTCTTCCCAATAAAACCAAACACCCAACGTATAATAACATCTAAATTTATTTTCCGAGAACTATATTATAATATTTATAATAATTAAATGCGACAGTAATTTTAAAATTATGTATAAACAAATATATATAATTATAATAATCATTCCTATTTTTCAAATACACCCATCGATTCTTTATAAACTCATACGTACATATATATATATATATATATATATAACACATTATATTATTTAAAAATATTAGAAGCATTAAACCACAACCTTGCATATATATTAAATTATACCAATATACTACAACTAACATCTTTTAGAGTAAACAATCACTATGCCCGAGAGATGTATTATTTATTTGAATATGATATATTTGTTTAACTGTTGACATATTATTGATTTTGAAATGAAGTTCCTTCTATTAAACTGTAATACTATATTAAGAATTATTTTGTACTGTTATTTTAAATCACCACAACAAAACTTTATTGTCATTTATCATTAGTTGTGCTATATAACTAATGGGAAATTCTTTTCGTAATTATATTGACCTTGTCGTTCCAAAAATAATCAATGTTAAGACCTAACACGTCAAATTTGAAATAAGTAATAACTAAAAAAGTAAAAATTTGTATTTATAGACTATAGATAATACTTTCGAAATCATTAATCAACTATAATATGATGAGCATGTACGAATATATCAACATAAGTTAAAAAATAAAATAATAATATTATTTATCGGTCACATATGAAATCATCGACAATCCTGAGATATATGTACCTGTGAGTATTTAATTAAGAATTTAAAAAATAACAAAATATCATTTTATAACTTATTATGTATAGATATATATAATTTTCATAGAACTTACCGTCTCCATCCGGAAAGCGGTTTTTCTGACAGATCGCTTTGGCTAACGCCTATTAAACCAATGTTTGCCAACATCCAAGCTATGAACAGCAAAACTAAAATGGCCATTATTCTTACAGGAAGAACCACTATGGTAAAAAACGCAGTCTGAAATAAAATAAAATACGCCCGTTAGAAAAAGAATTTTTAAGTTGTTGATTTATTTATTTTTTAAATTAATGTAAAAATTATTACTGGACCTCACTGAGAATAACTCGAGCGAAGGCCCAGATTCTGTATATATGTACATAGGAATAAATATCGATAAGAGTAATATTGATATTTACCATGATTAATTTTAACAGAAGACGTTCTTTATATTTAACTGTACATTATAATTGATATCATAAAACAATCCGACTACATATTTGTAACATAAATGTAAATTATTTAAAATTAGATTACCTTAAGTGTAATTTTTACATACTTTTAGGCACAATTTTTTGTCAATAAAAATCATGTTAGATTATTTAAAATGTACGCACGGATTTATGTCTCATTCTAAAATTTTCTATGGTTTCAGAATTCACATCATCGTATTATATACATAATGAACAGTCTATTGGAACTTGAAAGTACAAAAAAAGTCATTAAAGAACATTTGTTTGCTATCCTTGGTAGAATTATAAGCACAAAGTTCATACGTACACAAAGAGGTGAGTTATTAATGGAACGAATAAATATTGGTTTTTCGATAAGTATAAGGTCAACTATCAGTATAATTATTATAAACACTATTAAAACAACGAGAATAATGATATATATTTTAGCAACCATATAAAATAATTGTTTTATAAGATAACGAATTGTCATGAGTATTATTTCAACGAATGATGGATTGTGGAAAAATATATTAGTCATCAAACCTTAATATCACACATGGTTTGTAAATGTTTTTCGATAATCCAAGTTTGTATGTCAAAAGTGCACGTAAGAACCTTCATCATTGTATCAACGCAAAACATAAATAACAATGATAATTAACAGTTACAATTAACGTTATAATATAATATAGGTACAGTGAAATAATAATTAATAAAACGGCAACAATAATAATAATTTACAAGAAACATGCTGATTACAATTTGAACAAGATACCGAACACAACAAAAGAAGTGTATGTATGTGTACAATAACGTCCAGTAAGAACATAATACATATATATTTACACTTACAACACTGTTATGGGCATAATGAACAACTGTGTAGAACAGCAGTGAATTCATTTTAAGCGATTGTCTATTATTTTAACAACTATAACAACGTTTTTATTATGTTTGTCAGACATTTTGTACCCGCACGTGTGTGTTGGCAAGGAAAAAAGGGACATAACCTAACAATGCGTCAATATTCAGTTACTATACATAACCCTATGTTTTAACACAGTTTATAAGCTTTAGCTTGTATTTAAATAAAGCCGAAAGGTTTTTGCCACTAAGTTCAAAATTGTTACAAACACAATACAATATTGTGAATTGTTATGTGTAGTTAATATCGAAAGAATTGAGAATAATAACAATACTCTTGTGTTATAGTAGTCAATAGAAGGTAAAAACGTAAAACCTTATACTGTATACAAGTTTTTCGTCCATTGTACTATAAAATAACAATCAATGTACAGTATACAGAGTGTTAGAAAAATTGAAGACACTTAAATTATTTACGGATACGATACATGGTAACATTGAAAAAAAAAACCTTTAATTATATACTGATCTACAAGTTTATTGGCAACTGTTAAATCTAATCTTGCGCATTAATACGTTTTAAACATTTTAATTACCACTTCAAATCTAGAGGTTTGAAACTTTCTTTAGATGCGCAAACGTATAGTATATTCTGTACGTGAAAGAAACAAAAAAAATATCACTCTTTTAGTAAAATGTATATTTATTAACAGTTTTTCAACCAACGTTTTATTTTGCATTATTAATTTAAAATTTATTATTGAAATTACTACATAGCATAAAAAATAAAATACAATGGTTTGTAAGTATATGGTAAATTCATGACAGAGGTTTATTGACTAATAAACTACTAAAATAAAATTTCCAAAGATTATAATATAATCAGGGGTGTATTTAGGGGAGAGGGGGTGATATGGGTGTAAGAACGCCCCCATCGACTGTATTTTATGGTATTTTACCAAATTGCAAACTTACAGTATAATTTTACATATATTTTACATATATATATAATCATTTTCATTAATATAATAATTTATATAAATACATGGTATTTATTAATGTAATAAGGGGGAAGACCCTCCATTTACCATAAGTCTATTAAATTTTAAAACACCCCCGTAAAATGAATCCTGGATACGCCACTGAATATAGTAATATAGTATGAATAAAAACTACGCGTAGTTAGTAACATCCATGAATTACTCTAATTAATATTTACAAATTAAATTTACATTATTAATATAATTATATGATGATTACGAATTATGAATTTATGAATGTCTGTATATTTATTATAAATGTATATTATACTGTTAATAAATATATATATATATATATATATAAGGATTTTTAGGTTTAAATATCATTATTCATTCATTATTTATATATCATTCATTATACTTGTAAAGCTAATAATTAATCCTTTAAATTTGCATTTCCTTAAATCTTGGTATTCCCGTATCATATAGATATAACCATAACCATAGTCAATCACTTAAAACATAATATAGTAAAAGAAAAAAATCATCAAGGTAAACCTGTACAACCGAGTAGTATAGAAAACTTCGCAATACATTTCGACGTAATCATGGAAATCATAAGCACTAGGAATTCATAAAATTATAACATAATATTTCATATGCACTCTGGATTCATAATAACTATATGAGTTAATCGTTCTTTGCTAAGTACTACGATACTTCCGTAAAAATCAGAGTTACGTCACGGAGTTATAACCACACAAAACTACCGGATAGCCAACTAAACCAATCATTGTAAAACTATACTGGCCGGCATCCAGTAATACTTTCAAAATGTAATATACTATTTACTGTTGTACTGATCTACAATATTATGCATCGCACACATATTTATTTTTGATTTGCTCACTCGTCTCTTCAATGTAAAACTCTACTTGGTAAACATATGTATGCATCATTTTTTCTAATGCGATAATATTACATAGGTAACGGTATTTAATATTACCTCCATTATTACGACACACCTACGTGTTTGGAATAATGAGTAGGCACCCGAAGCACTGTATTTGATTACTTATTTTTTCAGGAAGTAAACAAACGTTATTACGTATGCTGTTATGGATTCATCAAAAACACTTTCTTTAAAATAAATATTATTTTCTATTTTGCAAAGAGTCATAAAAACTATTAAATAAAATACAAGCGATAAGATCCGTAAAACCATACGTACATCCTTTACGTAAAATAGAAAAACGTTTTGTTACATCGTGATATAGATTTGTAATGACATTAATACGCATTACCTATGAATATCACATCAATAATCCATATGATATACATATTATTATATCTATAGGTCCTTTGACTCGTACGACGACAAATGTGTACAGTTAAACCATATTATTAGATCGACGGTAACAGTTGAAAATAAGTAATAAAATGACCATCGCAGCGGGGGGCACCAAGTTCGACACTGTGGTTGCGTTGTTATTCCGTTGTTGACGAACGATTCGGTTAGCTCAAAGCTCCGGTAACTAGTGTTGTCACCTACTCATCCGAGACACCACTCTCGGCGAGTCTTATATATCAAATCATATATATATATATAATAACGTTAACCATAATATTATATTCCTTGCGCTCCATAAACACTCCCGGCACGTTAATCTCAAATACAATGTACACGAACATTCATACGGAATCACTAACTTACTAAGTCGAGTAATCCTATTTGATTTCCAACTTCGTCCTTCACTCTCACCAAAACTAATTTCTAAAATAACGCTTTATACATATACTGTTCTCGTACAATACATACGGCGGACCCTGTAATCACTAGTCCCGCGAACGTGATCGATAAGCACGCTTATCCTAAGGTCTCGCGAACAGCTGGTTTTCTGAACACGCTCAAATACGATAAAATATACGAACTCGGCGTTTCAAAAAAACACAGGTAAGTACACCCCGACGGCACGACGAGAGACATGATTTTTATTTCGAGCCGATTATCCTTGTACAGCAATACACGCGATACACATTTGGACGACGCGCGCATAAAAATTAAACCACGCGAACGGTGCACCAACGATAGGTATCCAAAGCGGATCACTTACCTTGAACTTATCGTAGGTGGACGTCAACTCCAAATGGTGCACGAAAGGGTTGAGCATGTTTTTCGACGCGATCATATCGTTGCCGATCAACAGTTTGGTCTCGCTCATCGCCGCTGGCCACCGGTATCGGTGCGGACACTGGACAGCTGTTGGTGCGGACGACGTACCTCGGATGCGTTCCGCTCTGCGGCAGCTGTCCGCGAGTTCACCGGCTGCTGTACGGAACAACGCACGAACAACGATATCAGTTGTATTTATTATTGTTAATGAAATCAGGCGGCGTCGGGGCGACGGTGGGGGGAGAGCGGACAGGCGCGTTGCGCTGCGGTCGACGGTGCCGATTGATATTTTTTTTGTGCGTGATGCGTACCTGCTGAGTGCGATGCGTACCTGCTGAGTGCGATGCGTTTCGCCGGGTGTTTCCGGGTCGGGCCGTTGTGCACGGCGACGACGTGCGGGCACGGAACGGGCGCGAGGCAGCGACGGTGAAAGCGCGAGAACGGGGCGCAGCAGAGATGTGTGTTGGGAACGACGGGTACACCGTGCGGGCACGTACGGGTGTGCGAAAGCGCGAAAACACCCGAAACGACGGCGGCGCGTAAAGTGCCACCGGACCAACGCGATTTATCGACAATGCGCGGCGGACTGATCGCGTCGGGGACGTGTGCAACAGCGCGGGCTCGCAGCGACCATGCGTGAGCGCGCGCGCGCACGTTCTCCTCGCACCGCCGACGCTCGCCGCGGTCGTAAGACTTCGCGGTTACGTGGTGTGTCGTAAGAGGTAAAAGTTCCGTGCACTCGTAAACAAAACGATTTCGCGTCGCAAATCGAATTCGACCGTTTCCGACTCCCGTTCGAGCGCGTGCCGTCGCGGTACGTTCAAGTTTTTTAACGAACCGATTCGAACGTTTTCATCTGTCCGCGCGCGTTTTAACTGCACTACTTGCTGGTGCAGAATAATAAAGCGCAACAATGAAGCCTGCGCCTTGCATACCGCGGAATGCGTTCGGTCGTGAATTTCAAAAGCAACGAAATTACGCTGAAACAATGGTACTCGGACTTGACTAATCGACAATGACCCCGCATCCCACTATCTGTATAGTTACGCCGTACAATACCACAACAACGTTTTACGACGGATTTACCTATGCAATTATCAATCAGAACAATACGAATAGTATAATGCATTGAATAATGGTGTATATAAGTTGATGTGTAATAACGGGTTACTTGAGCGCCGCATTAAAATTTTAAAAAAAGCTTCGAAAAATCATAATACGTAATTTATGAGATATTGAACATTGCTAAACCCGTTATTAACTAATCTAGAGAGTAGAAACATTCAGCATGAATAGTCCGTAGTCGAAATGTAGTAAAACATTTTTTAAGTCCCATGCTACGATTTTCAATATTTTAAATTATAAAAATGACATTATTTCAAGGTTTACTTGATAACAATATCTAGATACGCCCCTGAAGGCACTGTCCACTGCATGATGATTATACAAAAACGCTTCATCGTACAAAAATGTATTATTGTCGTCATCGTATTTCCAAGTAAGCAATCAATTGACAAAGTGGGTCATTATTATCTTGTAAGAAATATCATTTCAATAACGGTAAATCTCGTTGTAAATAATATTATTATTATTGTCGATAAATGTACTACATATTTAAATACTAAGTTTATATTTTTCAATGTACGTACATTGTAATGTACATCTTAATGAAACTTTTCAAATTTGAGAACAGCAAGAAAACACTAGGGTACAATAACATACGATTATCGAAACTAATTTGTAATAAAACGTTTTGAAGAAACATTATATACAAATACTAACTAATAAATCGAAAACATCATACTTAATACTTATATATATGTAAATAAAGAAATATATACAGTGTGTTCCACGAAGATAAACCCATTGCGATATATTCTGAGATAGTGAAGACAATAAAATTCTGTTTCCTATCATTTTTCTAAGGTAACAGAAAAAATCAAGTTTCTTAAATTTATAAACGTAATTATGTTTTAATATTATTTTATTTTATGAAAAATTTTGTTTTATAACCTAAAACACTAGTTTTCTTTAATAAATTTTAATAAAAATAAAACTTTGACATCAAAATGTTAAGAATAAATTGTGTATAATGGCATTTTTCAAATTTTACAAAAATAATATTTAATCAAATGATTATAATTCTTTACCAAAACTTAAACATTTATTTAAAATACAAATACTTATAGTCCTTATAACTATAGGAAAAAATAATAATAGAATTTGTCTATCTTCATAATTTTAGTAATTTCAATTTTAAAGTACATATATATGTTCATTGCATTAAATTAAGAAAAAAATCAATACAATTACACAAATAAATTTATTTAATATGACACAAGGTTAGTTTATATGTATATTATAATATGTAACTCATATAAGTTCTACTCCTAGTTGCAAATATTGCCTAATATGTTTTTTCTATAAAAAATTATATATTTAAAAAATTACATCGTTTTCTGCTTTCAAGGTCTTATGTATATAATGATATATAAATTATAAATAAAACACGTGTAGATTACAATTTCTAAATATTTTATGTGTAAAAATGTATGTATAGAATATAAATAAATAAATGAAATATCAAATATTGACACGTTTAATACATAGTAATGAAATAAGCAATTTTTTATACTTCAACCAATGTAATTTGTATTTCATAGTACTACTCTTGAAATACTTTTATTTCAAATGTATATACCAAAACAAACATAATGCAGATTTTATATTGTAATTAAATTAAATTATCTATCCATAAATAAATATTTAATATTTATACTTCTCAACTAAAATAAATGTTATTTTAAACTGTTTTTAGATCACATTTTAGACCAATGTTTAAAGGATAAATATTTTACTTGGCATACAATGCTATAGTAGATACTTATAATAATAACATATTAGTAACACATCAATATTTATGTAAATATATATATATATATATATATATATATAATTTCTATGAAAGGTAATATAATAATAAGATATTACTATCTGATATAGTGATTTAAATTATATAAGTACTTACTTGAGTGTTTTAAATATACACAATGGTTGTCGAAGGAAAAGGTATTATCTTCATTTCAACAAATCAACACAAATAACAAAATTCAAAAACTTTATCACGTTACCTCAAGTGAAAGGACTTGTCAATAGTGAATTATTTACACAATTAAAAAAAAACTTATTGCAGATACGTGCATAAAATGTATTATTTCGATTTCACTATTATTAATAGCTATTAGTCAGATAAATCAAATTGTTCTGTCAAACAGAATAATAACGATTCAAGTGCCAAATGCTAAAACATATTAATAAATATTGTATATTCAATCAACAACAAACAACTGTTAACAAAAAAATATAATATTACATAATAATAAACAAAACAAATAATAAATTACTACACATCGTTTATGATCTTACTAATCTGGCTAATGATTTATGATAACATATAAACAGTAATATGATTAGATTGTGATAATATATTGATAATAATTTTTCTATGGGAGGTTATAATTGTAAAAACTTATAATCTCCTAAAGTAAAAGCAACAAGTGACAAAAAGCAACAAGTGGCTGCTCTTATCAAATAAATATCATATCCACACATGATCAACACAACTATATTATTTTAATGAACTTATAGTGGTCAAGTGAACAGTGATGAAAACGTATGATGAATCTAATATTATTTGCTGAACACATATGAAATATACATAATCTATTAAATTATATATTCAAGACTTCAATGGAAGTTCCAAAAATAACAATAATTATGAATTATTCTATTAGAAACATTAAGTTATATTAGTTAATAAATGCTAACAAATTTAATGACGTAAATAATAATGATAACGTTGACTGTAGTAATTTAAAACGTTAAAGAAACTTTTCCTAAACTGTTTCATCTTCAATCGTATGTTAATAAGTGAATGGCATTCATAATAACTTTAAGCAACCACAAATGATCGTGCACGTAACTATTTTTACGTTTACTTTAGATGTCCAGCTGATGAACGAAAAATGAAAGTTCGTGTTTTTAAAGACACTCAAATCATTTAAAATAATCACAGATAGATGAAATCTATGAAAAATAAAAAAACATTTGTGAGTCTAAAATTCTGTAGTATGACATATTGTTTTTTATGACATAACACTCTATATACCTATTACACTGCACAAATATTATTGACACGTATAATAGCATTGTGTTTTTACACTCTCTCGATATTTTGCTATTGATTTAATATTTTCACGTCGCACCGAGAAGTACGTCCTAACGGCGTGCTAATGCCGGTTGGGGACAAAGAGTTTAGAGCAAAACATTCGGATGTTAAAGGACATAGACCTCCTTAAGATATGAAGGAGAAGAAGGCACCCACTCTATCTATTCATATAATATTTTGGGCTAAAGTTCTATGTATTTGAGGACCATATTTAGAGGAGAAGAGACCAGGAGTTTCCGAGATCAAGGAGGTTTGGGCCACCTTATCTGTTATTTAATTACGTCCGCGGTCACTCGACAATGACACTACAAGTTATTTCGTTATACGCGCAATTCGTCTGGTACTATTTCAATACGTTTCATGCGTGCGGTTAAAAGCTAAAGGCAAAGTTCAAACCGAACCAAAGGCGCTCAAAGAACGATCGACGAATTGGTGCACGAATGCGTTACGATTACATTATTACGTGAGCGGTATGGTTGGCGCGTTAACCGCGATTCAAACAGTCCCCCCGCAACCGGTATGCCGGCTCTTCCATGAGATTACCTGGTACATGTTACACCTGTTCTCATACCTGTTGCCGTTTCACATTCCTTCGAGCCCCGTAATTGGACCACCGCCGATCGCTGATAGCTTTTCCACGCCCGTGTGCCCCTATACTACAGTGCTGTTGGGCACCTCGTTCGTCGGATGTTTACCATCACATAGTAGTTTGCACGCGAGCCCGTAGAAGGGAAGTGGTAATTATACACATCCTTTTAATAGTTACAGCCAAATAATTCTACCTCGACGGTCTTCGCAAGCGTTCCTAGTCTCGTCGCCATCGTGTTGGTAAATACAGTTTTATTTTACTTATTTTCTTCGTTTTTCGCGTTTTGCGCATCGGCTCTTAAACAACGGTCCGGTATTGTACTATATCTGTCATGCCGGATGCCTTCGTGTCCACACGGTACAACAGGTAAGAAAGTGCGGCTCTTTCGACGATCAATAATGTAAGCCTCTCGTGAAATCGATGGATCATTGAATCGCGTGACTCGCCAGATCCGTTCGACTTCAAGAAAAGATATTTAGAACAGCAATAACATGAATTCATCAACCGAACAAACTATTTAGCTGATTACTCCTATTTATCTCTATCATTCTATCATTTTTTCCACAAAAATACGTGACGTGAACACCGTCCTCTGTACCAGCGACACAATATTCGAAATTAATTTTGGAAATTCCGCCCACCCCGTATAATTTATTACATTTAATTCGTTATCGTGAGTCCATGAAATATAGGTACACTCACTCACAGAACGAGACACAAATAATGATATATTATTCTTTTGCGAGCACTATTCCACCATTTTAATATTATTTCAAGTCTACTCCGTTATGATAATAGTCCACTGGAGACTTCAATACGCTTTGAACGCTGTTCATATCGCTGTGCCGCTGTGTTCGCATCGGTGACGTGGTTTATGTTAATGTTTTATTTGTTTTCACTAAAACGCTCTATACACTGCGACTTGATCGTATATGACATACGTATACATATATATCACTTGATTTGCCATATACAGATTGTAAGTGTGTATTAGTGTGTGTGTGTGTGTGTGTGTGTGTGTGTGTGTGTGTGTGTGTGTGTGTGTGTGTGTGTGTGTGTGTGTGTGTGTGTGTGTGTGTGTGTGTGTGTGTGTGAGTACGCTGCAATTTTCAAATGAAAACAAGTTTCTAAATGTATTATAAAAACCTCTAAATCATGCAACAAGTTAATTCTGTTATTATCGTTAGAAAATCGATGCGTTTGTAATGAACTAAACACAATTTTATTTCGCGAGCAATAAACCAACATAAAATAACCGATGCTATGAGATATACAACATATCTTTGTATTTATAGTTCACTACATTTGTTTACACATATTAATTACAAAAATAATATTAAATTGTTTTAGATTGTTTATATAAATTGTTCTGTTTCACGTTTTAGTATATGGGTGTTTATTGAATATCTAAAGCCAATAATACATAAAATGTAAAAACCTTTTTTTCGAAATCATTGTAAACACTATAAAATTGTTCTGGAAATTATTATTCGTCATCAGTGATTTTACAATTTTAACCTAGAATACTGTGTGTATTTCTAAAAAATGTACAAATATTTTATTATAATAAGAAATTTATAAGAGAAACTTATGAATTATAATTAGTAACTTTTTCATTAGCACTATCATATAATTTACTCTATTCGAATCAAACAACTTTCATAAGTATTGACGCTCTGAAGTTCGTGATGTTTTTATTAAATTATAATAATAACATGATTATTATTCAATAATTACATATGTACCTAAAATTTATTTTTAATTGAAATTTAATTTCAAAATTAATTTTAATCAAAATAGTTTATGTACTATTCAAATGCAGTGAAACGTGTTAACATTAAAAAGTTACCTTCCTATGTAACTATTATGATACTTACTAAAATTACAATGTATAACAATTTAATTTGCTTAATCTATTCATTTAGGTTTAATCATTGATGTATGCTTGATATTTTATTTATTTTTTATTATACTAAACATTTTAATGTAGTTTAAATCACTTAAATATTAATATATACATAAATGTATAGGTAATTAATTTAGTAAAAAGCAAAACGTTTCTTCGATAATTAATAAATGTTGGTAGTTCAACAAAAAATGTTTTTGTAAACATTTTTCTTTGTTAATGATTGATAATATTCCCGCGACCATCGTCATCTACTTATATATACTGAACGGTTATTAGGTATAAACTATTTACTTTACCTACTGGATAATATTTCGCCATGTATACAATGTAATCACTATATTATAATATATGATACCTACTGCATTTCCCGGGACTTGCTAACCTATTATTATTATTTATAAATATGTGCATACTATTAGACGTGTTAACTCATGTATAACCGCGCCGCGTGTAAATTAAATAATATACGTACATAATGCGGATTTGAACAAAACAATAAGCCGAATAACGCGTTTTGTTTAATACCTAAAATGAGCAAAATAATAATAATAATAATAATAATAATTTATGCCCATGATTTTCTCATATAATGTGTACCGACTCGTAAAATCATTTATATATATATATATACACGTCAGAAGGTACACACTACTTGTATATAAAATATCAGGCATGTGAAAAATCGACGGGTCAACGACTCGGTCGTGTATAATAATAGTACTTGAATGAGACTCATCATCATCATATACATCCTCGTTGTCGTTGTCGTTGTATTTTTGTTTTTCTTTCTCAATATTATTGTTTAAAATATAGTAATTCCCTAGAATACTTCCGAACCTATGTTGTTGAGTGCTTTAAATTATTTTATACAATCAGCAAACGCTTCGAATAGAGATAGAGTGACTTTTAACTGATAAGTTTATGGTCGAGGTGATGTAATGAGCACTTTTAACATTGATTAAAATATCATACTAAATTATTATTCAAGATACAACGCGAACAAAAATAACAATAAAATATTATAATACATATTGCGTCTTAACATAATATTCACGATTTTGGGTTAGATTTGTTTTATACAGAATTATTTTTTTAAAGTTTCTTAATTATATATTTATAAATGTTTATGGGTACTAAACTTTAAATTCTAAGAAACTGCAAATATTTGCAGAATTATCGTTACCGCCCGTTTTAAAGAAATATATATATATAAATATATATATCAATAATGGCAGTGTTAATTTATAGATGAATTTCATTGGAGAGTTTGAATCAAGAACGTATGCAGGAATTTTTTTTATGGTGGAAGGGGGTCCAACATTTTTATTTTATCTGTTCTCTAACTATAACTATAGTTTAACTCAATACTAAAAAATTACTGTTATATACTATAGTATGGTTTATACATTATAGATATATTAAATAATCTATGAACTTTGTATATAATGGAATAATAGATAATGGGAAATTAAATTACACTATATACTATTATTATACTATTTACTATTAAACCCTTGAGTAAGTAGAAATTTCAATGGGTGGGTCCGAATCCGGAACCTCCCTCCCCCTTGGGTATGCCCTTGGGTTGCACTGTCGAAATTTTAGAACCCTAAGTCCCGAATAAGTTTGTTTTTCATACCTATTGCTTTATTGGTCCTATTCACTATGTAATCTCATTTATAATGTTATTTATTTTTTACAAAACAGTTCACATTAAAAAATAATTAACTATAAGTGAATATTTTATAAATTATGTATTTATTTAAATTTATATTGAGAGTTAACATGTCCTTAAATAGCTCCATATATTTATTTGTAAAACTACCTACACCTCGATGAAATTCAATTTGTTACTTATGATATAAAAGTTATTTATTTTTTGAAGTATTCGGTGTATGGCGATAATATATTATAACGTTGTGTATTTGTGTAGGTTTGACATGAAATATGACGTTAAAATTGTTTTATTGCTCTATAAAAATATATATTATGTTTAAGTATCTTATTCATATAAAATAACTTACGGTAAAAGAAATTTTCAATTTTTAAATAAATTCAATTTCAATTTTATTTCCATGTGATTTAAACGAATTATTAACTAATATTTATTAATTTCATTATCAGTTATATTATTTAATATTTATCATAATATATTTTAAGAAAATTTTTGCTAAACTGTATTTTATAATATATTTGAAGTAAATGTCTAATTGCTCTTATTTTTTATTATGTATAGAAAATTAAGCTGTGGACGAACACAATTATGAGTGATGAGGGAAGAAGACTTAGAAATAGCATTAAAGGTATTTATATTAAATATTTTTATAACTGTATTTATGACGTAAATTAAATTGTGTTTTATGTATGTACTTTGAAGGTGGTGATCGTGGGAAATGGCGCAGTTGGAAAATCAAGTATGATTCAACGTTACTGCAGAGGAACGTTCACCCGAGACTATAAAAAAACAATCGGAGTCGACTTCTTGGAGAGACAAATAGAGTAAAGACCTAATTGTGTTAACCTAGTATTATTAATTTATAGCTGCAGCGTTGTATAAAAATTGTGCAAAGTTTGTAATTATAATATATTTATGAGAGAAATTAAAAATAAAAATCCGGGAAGTAATATTACGGAACGTAAAATCACAGAATTTAAAATAAATATATATTCTTTAAGAATCACTCAAAAATCATTAATTGTTATGATTATGCAACTATCTGTTAAATATTATCTATATTTTTAAAATAATGTATTATAATTTAATATTCATTCATTATTTAATAGGTTCTAGATAAATCGTGTTAGATTGTAACTACCTAAGATAAATACAAAAAATAATAATTGTTATCATCAATATCTGAGTACATATGTTGAAGGCTATTGCGTCTACTAATTTGAAATATAGTCATAGGCTATAAACTTATTTTTTTGGATTTTAAGTCATATTTATTATTTCTAATAAATTTGAAAATTCAAATTTTTTTTGTGTGCCAAATATTAAAAAAAGAGCAAAACTCCATGGTCAGGCGAGATACAGAGATGGGTAAATGGTATTGTTGTATTGATATTTTAAACACGATAGTAATATACCATTGCTCTGTAAAAATGATTTTGAGTGAAAGATATTAAGTGGATCAATTATTTTCCTAAGATAATTGATGTATTAGAAGAACCAAATTTCGTATAAAGTACCTAGGTTGGATTTTTAATATTCTAATTATTACAACAAATAAAAGGCATCTAAAATGCTGAAAAAATTAAAAAATTCAAGTACCTATGAACAGGAAAAATGCGTTAAAATATTTCAACATTATGAAATATTTTTGACTAATATACTAATATCATTTAATGGAAATTCGTTGAAATATTCAAGTTCGGCAACATTTTATTTTATATTGCTTATAAATCATTAATATAAATTTCCAGTTTTTTTTTCACTTCAAGTAAAATTTTATAAAAAGATCTTGTATTCAATTTTTGAGGGGACTTTTAACTCCAAAAATATACGAGTAGTAAATTTTCTTGATTTTTACTGTTTTTTTTTTTTTTCAAAATTTAATATTTAAACGCTCGTAAATTTTGTTTTTTTGATATTAGGCTCAATTGTTTTAATCAGTAATGTATATATATATGAGGAACTTTTAATTACTTCAAGACTTTATCAAACCAAAATTATTTTGTTGACATTTCCAAAAAAAATCTTAGAAATTATACCAACTACCTATAGCAAACCTTGAAATCAGCATTCAGTGAAAATTGCGTGTCTTTACAATTATTATATTTTAAGTTACAAAGAAAACAGAAATTCAATTTTGTTAAAATCCAGTATATTTTTCTCTAATTTAATTAATTTAATGTAGCCTTATATATAAGTATTATATAATATAAAGTAAATCTATGTTTTCATTAACAATAGCTATATTTATAATAATTTACAATAATTATATTTCAATATGGAATACCTACTAAATTAATGAAAATTCCTTGTAAATTGTGATTGATAAAATATATATTTATAGACTTATTCCAGTCTAGAAAAATAAGTATAATAATGAATAGGTACACAATATTGATAATCAATTATGCTTTATATTTTAAATATATAAGTATTATATAAATGTTTAGTCTACAGAATAATGAACAATTATTAAAATTATATTATCAGAAATTGACTGTACTAACATTGATTAAATATATAAAATAATTTTATGATAAATGTTTGAAATATTGAATAATATATTATATATATTATATAATAATATTTTCATTAAACTGTTCCTATTTTGATTTAGATGCAACGGAGAAGATGTAAGGTTAATGCTATGGGATACAGCTGGCCAAGAAGAATTTGACGCCATTACCAAAGCCTATTACAGAGGAGCTCAAGCATGTGTATTGGCATTCTCAACAACAGATAGAGATTCTTTTGAAGCTATTCATTCATGGAAAATCAAGGTTCTATTTAACTACATATTTTTCTGGTGGTTAGATTGGTATAAATAATAATTTTCTTAAAAATATTTATAGTTATGTATGCTTGTATTTTACTAGGTATTATTCTTCTTTGTTATGATTTGGTTAAATATCTATATAGATCTCTATATTTTACTTACATTTTTATTTTTTATTTTTTTTATTTTCATACATAATGTTATAATTGTAATATTAAACTACGACTATATAACTTAGTAATTTGTGTTGTATTTAAATAAATACTTCATTATAAATACTAATTTCTTTATCATTTTTAAAGGGTTTTGGTACTTAATAGTAATTATCTTGATTCTTCTCTTCGGTGTATTCATATTATCTACAATTAGAGTAAGTTATATAACAACATTTTTAAAATACATTTTTATTAAATTTAACTAATTAATTCTAATATAAAGTTACTTGGTTATAAATATTCTAGAACCTTAAATTGTATGTATTTTTTTAGGTAGAAGATGAATGTGGAAAAATACCAACAGTTATTGTTCAAAATAAAATAGATTTAATTGAACGCAGTCAAGTTGATCCGTAAATATTTATTATTTTCTGTTACTATACTCTATTCAAGTTAAGAGTTCACCAGGCAATGGAAACAGGTTGTAACCCCACAAACTTTCCCCATTAAAAATAATGGTGACTATGTGTACAGACTAGCCTATTAATTTTCCCTACCACTGAACTATTATCCCTTTAATACATATAAAAAACGAGTATATGTAATCTTAACTTGAGTAGATTATAATTTACTTTATAATTAATCAAAATAAATTGAATATTTTCATATTAAAATTAACTACTTGAATCTATGAAGCATGTAATATACATATTTATAATAAATATATTTTATACGAAAAATAATCAATAAAATGATAAGTGTTTGAGATATAATTAAATAAATTCAATAATTACATTGTGATTATATAATATATAATTACTTTAAATATTGTTTAATAATTAACTATTTATTTGTATGTTATATTAGTACCCCTACACATTATTTTTAAGTACAGTGAAACCATAATTTAACTATTTTTAGCCAAGAAGTTGATATGCTTGCTCGATCATTAGGATGCAAGCTAATATGTACATCAGTTAAAGATGACGTCAATGTCAATAATGTATTCAGATATTTAGCCACACGATGTTTGATGGAAATACAAAAAGAAGAACAAGAGTACATGTCAGGAAATGGAATACATCAAACATACACTATAGGTATTTCTTTTAAAAACATTTTTATATTTATTAATAAGCCTTTAAATTAATACATTTAATAGAGACAGTCAAAAAATAACATTTAAATGTGCTGACATTCTGAAATAGATAACCAAATACTATAAAATAATATATCAATAAAGCTTATTGATCTTATAAATAAAAAAGAACTACTTATACAGTTTAATTATTATACTCATATAATTGTAATAAACAAATGTTTTTATTATTATTATCATTAATATTAATATTATTACTATTTTAGGTTCATTTGGTGCAGTTCCATATCATAACAGAAATTCTTCTACAACAATTAAATTAAGATCAGGAAAAATGAGACAAAAGAAAAAAAATATATTTAAGAACTCTTGTGTCATACCATAAAAATTTCCAATGATTACTTTTCCTGTATAACAAATGTTAATTAAGAAATTAAAAATTAAAAATAATAATAAAAAAAAAAAAATTGTATCACTTTGTCCTTGTTAAGAAAAATTTTTTATTTAAGATTTGATATATTGACAAGAAATTAATTATTAATAAGTTCAATAACAAGGAATGGTTATAAGTTGAGAATACTAATGGTCAATACTGACATTGCTGTCGAGTTATTCACTATCAAATTCTGTAACATTAGTTGTATGAACGATATAATCCAACAGCCCATGAAGTCGTTTGTAAATACGTTTTTGATCATCCAGTGTACATCCTAAGACGGCGGTTTCAAAAATCTTACTTCCTGACTGACTTTCCGATGAACCGCAAGAAGCTATATATGATTGACATGTAAACTTAGCATTGTCAGGATCATCCTTTAATGTATTGACTATTTTGTCAATCATTACGTTGATTTCCTCTAAACAATTTTGCTGGCTATCACTTCTAGTAGTATGCACATTTATGTTAACAGTGTCACATCGGCTGATAATTCGATCAGCAAACTGATGGATATCTTCTCTATCAACTAAAACGGTATAAAAAAATTTAATAGTAATTCATTAATAGTTTTAAATCAAAACGTACCATCACTTAGATAGTTCAAAGATTTAGAATTCCTCACAGCATCTACATTGTTGTAAACATTATCTAAATCTTCAGCCATCTTCAAAGCTTCTTTGCGTATGTTTTCAATTATCATTTCAGAACGATCCAACATTGCAATCAGGTATTGTTTGGATTTGGATGGTTTATCATCATCATCGGTAGGACTAGTAACAGTAATCACCTCACCCGCAGTATCCATTATAAGTGCTATCGCATTGAAAAATAAAAATAAAGGTAGGTGTAACACAACTAGGTTGCTATTATTCAATTAAAAAAACCCATCGTTATCACAAAATTCACTTACTTTTAGCTGATTCTGAAAACGGCAAATGAACGTCAAACGATTTCGAAATGCTCGTGAATTCACATAAAATATTGCGATAAATACGTGGAGTAATAAAAGTGCAAATTATAAACGACGATTAATTTATATTCAAATATTTCAGTACACTTACAAAATACTGAAAGCCACAGTGTATCTTATTTTTAACATCTACGTGAATACAGGAGAAAATTACGGCGATAAAAGGAACACGAACCAGTTGTACAGAATGCAGTACACTATTATAGAGGTACCATTGAACACATAGGAAATACCGAGACACGGAGAGCACAACAACGTCAACAACACTGATAAGTAACAATCGATTCTCGCAATGCGACGCAAATCGAAACTCGAACATTCGAGAAACAGTACATAAAACCTCTGTTGTGTTTCAGCGCAATCTATATGATTAATTTATATCATTTACAATCGAGTTATACATTTTTGTTACGCAAAATCATTGAAAATAGAATATAGAATATTATTCCATCATAATCTATAGCAAAATTGTTTTTACTTGAAATTGTACGAGATAAGACGGTTGAGAACTATAGATATATATATGTGTTGAGAACTGACTCATAGTGTCACAAATTATATAAAATAAAAACATAAAGTTCATGCTAGTAGTTCAAAAAATTCGTTCTCGTTATTTAAAATATTTATATTTTTAAATAAACGAATAGAACTCATATTCATATAATAAATTTAATTTAAAAATGTAAAATCGTACTTCAAAACATAAAATTGTATTTCTTATTACATACGAAGTATGTAACGACTTTCAAACGATTGATCAAAAAAAAATTAAAAAAAAATTTTAAATTAATAACAAAAAATTTTATATTTGTGTAATGTACCAGAGATTCAACTATGTAATATTATAATACTTCAATATTTTATCACACCAGATATACTTAAAAGTTTAAAGCAATCTTAATTGAATGTATTGAATTGATTAAATGTAGCAATAGAAATACATTTGTATTCTAAATAAAATTTAATTGAATATTAGTAAGAACTTTTATTTATATAAAAATATAATGTATAAATATAAACAAATAATTATTTTACTATAGATAAAAGCCTTTCTAATTGTTTACGTTTAGAGTTAATTTGTTTTTTATGTTTTTGTAGATCACTTGTACCCATTCCCTTTGGCATTTCATCTTCATCTAATAAAATTTCCATTTCTTCAGCAGCTTTATTAAACCAACTTGTAGATGCTGATTCTTTCTTTACTTTATCTTCCATCATGGATATTTCTTGTGCAAGTTTAACACCAACAAGGAACTTTCGAATATTTGACATTTCTACTTCTAATTTAGGTAATTCTTTTTCCCTTTTCATAGTTCTTAACACATTTAGGTAAATATTCTTTTTATTCGGGGTACATATTAAAAGTGATAAACCAACATTTGATGCTCTAGCTGTACGACCACTACGATGTACATATATTTCAGCAGTTCTTGGAACATCATAATGAATTACATGATTAACACCAACAATGTCAAGACCTCTTGCAGCTACATCGGTTGCAAGTAATAATCCATGGTCATTGGCTCGAAATTTATCTAAATTTTTAAGTCTTTGTTTCTGAATCATATTTGAATGTATAGGTAATGGATTTAATTTAAGTATACTTAAGACACTTGCAAGTCTTTTTACACAACTTATACTATTGCAAAACACTAAACTTCTACCGGGATTTTGTTTCAAAAAATAATATAAATACCCATCCTTTTCCATAACCGAACACATAACTTGCATTTCTTTTACTGAACTGGTAACACAATTTGCAGTAGTAAGATTTACTACATGTGGATTCTTCATGCCAATAAGTTGTATTAAACTTTTCAATTTATCTTCTGGGGACAAATTTTTTTTAATTTTTTTTTTATGTTTAATGTTCACCCTATATGGTGCTTTATGAACCATTGTAAGTGTTGCAGAAAACACAAAATTCTGTCGTTTATTATTTCTTTTCAAATTAATTTTTTCTAGCATAAGATGTAACTCAGGAAAATGAGCAGTCTCAACCATACGATCCGCTTCATCAATAACAAAATACTTTACTTTATTCAAGTGCATTAAATGTGGCTCATTTCTCTGCACTAATTCCCAAAGACGTCCTGGAGTTGCAACAACAATTTCTGGGCCTTTCTTTAAAATTCTTTCTTGTTTTTCACTAGACATTCCACCGACAATGGCTGCAATAGTTATATCGGAGAATTTCGCTACATCATCAATGTGATTTTTTACTTGCATGGCTAACTCACGGGTAGGCACAAGTATAACAGCCCATAGTTTCTTGTTTGTACTTACAATATTATCTGATGGTAAATTAACAACAGCTACACAACCCAAACCATTTTCATCAAGCTCTTCCAGGACTTCCGGTTCACTCTCATTTTCAGAATCTGAATTCAAGTTTGAATTTAGATCCGAATCTGAGTAATCCGAAACTTTATCAGCTAATCTTGCTTTAAGAATCCCATTTAAAATAGGTATTGCAAATGCTAAAGTCTTACCACTGCCAGTTTCTGCAGCTCCGAGTATGTCTCTCTGATCATGAATAGCAGGAGGAATTGATTCCAATTGAATTTTTGTAGGCTTTGTAAAATTTTTTAACTTTAGAGCATTTAATATTTCAGGCTGAATATTCAGTGACTCCCAACTATCCATAGTTATTTATAATGACCTAATAAAAAAAATTGAGATTAATTCTACACAAAAAAATTATAAATTAGTTGTTTACAAATGTAATACCTTTATATATCAATACGGGTATAAAAATCTTATAATATAAAACGAATCTAAATCTAAATATTCCGTAACATTATTTACTACTTGTAATATGATGTTGATAGTAGTTATCAACATTTTAGGCACGTGAGAACTATTCGAGGTTAGTTTTATTCACAAACTTCTAGACACGAGCGCCTAGAGACCATTAAATTCTATATGATATAATTCTATATTATCATACAGAGTTCGATGGTAGAGACACGAGAGGATCGCGACAGCAACGTGAGCTAGTTTTTCGGAGCAGTTATTATGGCTGAAATTAACGAGTTTCATTATCATTCTGCGTTTGTTATCACTAAATATAATATAAAATCTATAAATATGATAAACAATTTAAACTCTGACGTTATTAGCTCTCTATTAATATTTACAGTGAATTAGAATATTCGTTATATTTCAATTAACCTTATGTCTGCAGTGTCATCAGATAAGGGGGCGGGGGAAATTGACCTTTCAAATATAAGGGGGACAAAACTATAATTTTGAAAATAAGTATAATTTAAAAAATAGTTCCGGTGCCACTGATCTTAATATTCTCTCAAATGTATACAGTAAAATAAATTCAATGGATTTTGATTCCTCAATTTTTTTAAGCTGAGGCACCTTGATTTTTTCATTGTGTTATAAGACCAGTTCAGTGTCGCATATAGAAAAAAACCAATTATATATCGATGGTGTTTTGTTGAAAGGGCGTATACCACATAATTGAAATTGTTCAGGAAAAACAAAATAGAGTTTTTAAAAATGATACCGCTAAGGTCGGTTAGTTATATAGTAGGCATGTTGATAATTTGATAACAATTATCGTTCAAATGCTTAGTTTATTCGATAAAACCACTAGCAATTCCTGTAATCAATCCCTTTTAAAATTCTCCGTTAAAATATATATATATATTCTTTAGGGCGTTTGGATAACTTATATCCGCTATATAAGAATAATTCTTAATATTTTTAACCGCCTCAATATTACAAATTATGCGCCTATTTTTTCTGAAAATTTTGATACCAAAAACTCATTTTTCGATTTTTTGTGGTATACGACCTTTCAACAAAATGCCATCGATATACTATATTAATATATATATATATATATATAATATAATATATATATATATATATATATATATATATTATATATATAATATAATAGTGTAGTAATATAAAAATAATATACCTATTTGATATTATATATTAGTGATAACAAACACAGAATGATAATGAAACTATCAATAATTTTAGTTATGATAACTGCTCCGAAAAACGCTCACATTGCTGTTGCGATCCTCTCGAGAAACAGCATAAGAACAAATATCTTATCAATTATCATATTATAATCATTAAACATTTTAATGGCAAAACGTTTTTTTCAATTTGAAATTTTTTAATTTTTTTTGCGAGTTGATTTATTCAAATATATTTGAGTATGTACATTGTAATCGTCAATTTAGTAAAAAATGCAATTTAATTGGACATATAAAATTACACATGAAGGGATGCACCATTAAAACTTCAAGACCATTGATAGATGTAGAAATTTAATTAAATATAATTAATATGAATTTTGTTTCATTTCAGGGTAAATATACTACTTGAATTTTTCACTAACTTATTTATGAAATCAATATTTTGATTTATCATAATTGTTTAGAGTTTGAAGAGTGGAAAACAATTTAAGAAGTAAGTTCTTCGCTGTGTTTTTTTAAAAAAAAGGGAGACAAGATTTAACAAAAATAAAACTTTAGCCATGAGTGTTTATTATTGCCATCATTCTAGAATCTTTTCAAGCAAGGCTATTGGAAAACGTATCATGAAAATTATTGGTTCATGTAAAATGGGCAAGTGACAAAATCAGTAATATACATTAATTAATTACTGAAATTTGTAATTATGTTTAACTGTTGTATATAATCGTGACATTGTAATTGTTTTATTGTTTTATCTGTTGTTTGCTGTTAATTGATCTTCAAGTCAAGTCTTTGGTGTTTATGGAATACATGAAATAGTTCATCTCTTATGATATAACCATAAATTATTATGTACCTAATGTTTTAAAAAATTAAAAATTATTGTTTATACAAACTTGTTTTCATTATATTATTCTAAGATGACAAATCTCATCTATGATCTATTCCTCTAATAACTAATTAATTTATATGTTTTGTTTTCAATATATTATTCTGAGATGAAAAATTCCATCTATCATCTATTTCTCTAATTATTAGAGTCTAATAGCTAATTAATTTATATCATATTTTGTATTTAATTTTGGTTTTAATAGATACTAAACTTTGAATGTAATATAAATAAAATTTAGTCAAAATTGTGTTTAATAATAATTTTAGATAAATTCTGTCCTTCGTACATACAAGTAGTAGTTAAAAAATGTGGAAATGTAGAAATCAAATATTATAAGACACATAGAGGGCATTACAACAAAGTAAAATATCTTCCATTCCTAAGAAAGTCCAAGAAATAATTACTGGTAAATAGTGTCTTTTTATTATGACGATTATAATATTATGATAATTGATAAGATATTTGCTCTTGTGCTGTCTCTACTAACTGGATGAGCTACTTACAGCATTTATCATTGAGAATGATTTGAATAGATATTGATAGCTATTTGAAGAAAGATTCTTTCTTGACAATTTATTAGGAAAATATATAATACCAGTCTTGCAACAATTCTTTGTTTATATTTTTGTATTTGGATATTTATCATAGTACTATGAAAGTAGTACAGCACTGTACTATAATAAAGTACCTATTATATTTAACAGTTTTGGAATACTACATATTAAGAAAAGTCATACATTTTCTGGTCTTATCTTAATAGCATGAAAGACATTGTGTACCACAATATATCTCATTGCGCCTACGACCTACATTGTTTAAAGTTAAATATAAAGTTAATTGGGTTTCAACCATCAAAAATCAAAATACGAATTGCTGCTCATATTTTAAATTAAAAAAAAAATGATAACGACTGTATAATGCGTCAAAAACGGGTTCAGCTAGTATAATAATAATTTTAAAAAAATAACAACAAATGTGATATACCTATATATACTATTTATATCTACTAGGAGAAGATAATATGAGTAATATAAAGTGGGTATGATATTGGCAAGTATTAATATGCACTTATATAGATAATGGTAATTAGATTACATATTTTGGATCTGCACAGTTGACTTGAGATAACTATGTGAACTAGGTATTTATACAAGTTCTAATTGTAATTTTTGTTCCCAAAACCAAAATGTATTTAAGTCCATTCTTATTAAGTATAAAATTGTTAATACTTAATTAATAAATAATACATTTTTCTTGACTATTGTATTCATTATTAATACTTTTTTAAATAATAAAAAAAAGTCGATAGTTTTTATTTTATTATATAAATGTATGTTGTACAATTTACATTAAATGTACTTGCAGTTACTTTAAAATTAAAATGTGAATTTTTTTTTGTTGATGGATAGACAATTTTCATATAAATTATTACCTATGTATTTATTTGGAATGCTTTATTTTCCAATAGGCAACGAAATAAATTAAAAATACGAGTAAGTGTTGGCATTTTTTTATGCATTTATTTATTTTATTTTTTATTTATTATATGACTATTACATTGCAGTTGAATATAGTAATATTCAATATAGTAATGTTCATTAATTATTGTTATAACTGTTAGCATATATTTAATCCGTTAGTTTAGTTAGTTTAGCGTGTTTGTGTTGTTGTTTTCAATTGTTTTGTTTTTTGTGACTCACTTGTTTATGAGTAATTATTAAATAATTTAAAAAAATGTATTTCGAGTGTTAAACATTAACTATATAGAGTTACGTGCTACATTTCAAATATACTAACTTCATATGAAACTTTCTAGTCATTCTTATTATACTCTATATTGTAAATATTATAACCATATACAAATATTTTAATTTTGAGGTATTCTAGGTGTAAGAACATTTTACTGCTTTTGCCTAGAATTTCACTAAAGCTTGAGACAGCACTGGATCAGTAATTCTCAACTGGGGTGCCACAACATTTTAGAAAATACTTTAGGGTGTTACAAACAAAAAAAAGGTCGAAAACCACTGATTTAGACAATTAAGGTATATCACTAAAAATGTTTAGGGAGATTTTAATATAAAATATGTAAAATATCGTTGTCACACACTTCTGAATTATCAATAATATATTAGATAGTGTATAAATGTATACAATTCATTTTAAAGGTGTTCGTAGAACTGCAATATCGCAACAGGGCCGTATTGAGGTCTGGTGGTGCCCCTGGCGAATCACTGAATTTGCGACCCCCATGGGAATTTTGCATTTTTTTTACAAAAAATTATTTGATATAATATATCAAATATTTATATATTATATAAAACATGTATAAAAACATAATATACTAGGTAATAATTACTAATAAACTCTAATAACCATTTATATTACTTTAAAATATAAACAATCAATACATTATAAAAACATGTAATTTTCTTCAAATGTTTTTGATTTACAATTGTGTTAGATGATTTTTAATTTATTTAATACAATATTACAATGATACTTCTCTTGCTTTTATAGAGGCAAATTTATCCATGCCATTATCAAATGAAATTATTTTAACTATATCTTCTTCATATTTCGTGAAAAATATTATATAAGTTGTGTTGAAATTTATGCCCCTTTTAAAATTGCGCCCCTGGCCCATGCTCTTTTTCTTTACACTAAATACAGCCCTGTATCGCAGTAATAAGGAACACAAATAAAGTATGAAATTACCTATTTTTATTCATATAAACACATTTTGTTAATTATTTAATTTGTATAAAAATATAAACATTACCTATTTTTATTTATAATTCCTGATTGATGGAAATGTAAAGTGGAGGAAAATGGTATCTAATTTTTAAAGAGAAATGGCTTTAGCCAATTAGATTATGTTTTAAGCATGTTTTTTTTTTTTTTTTAATAATTTGCCTAAGAGGTCTCATGGCTAATTACACTTGGGACGATAGAGAGAATTAACCAGGAAAGTAGCGAAAGAGAAATTCGATATTATGGATTTGAGTGAAATAAGCTGTTGAAGTGGAATTTTTTATAGTGGAAGCAAGTAAAGAAAAAGCAGGTATTTTGAGATCATTATGAAGGATATTATTGCTAACGTACCACGGAGCATTTGGTTAACAAATGTAAATTTATTGACAGCAAATATTGGAAAATCAAAACATTTAAAATTCAAAAATTATTAACACAAAAATATATAACGCGATGGCATAAATTTAATTATTATAGAATATTATTATTATATTATATATAAATTTAAGTTCTAGATAATTAAATTTTCTTATCCTTGTAGCCATTAATATTGCTCCTGAATTTACTGCATATGATACTTATTTTATTTTAATTATAGTTGATTATAGTCTGTAAGTCGAAGTATAAAAGTGGCAATAACACAAGTACAAATAACGTATAACCGTAATATCGTACAAACTGTTGAATTATATTATGAAAAAATATAACAGTACGTTTTTTGCAAGGAAATATTTCAGTCGCTTTGTTCCACTCGGTATCCCGTGTATTGTAGGAATTTGTTTTAAATTTATAGAAAACACGATAGCGTAGGTACGGTACGATGACATAGAAACGTGAAATGGGTTGATTATTTAAAACTTGCAAATGGAAAATTCGATAAAGTGAAGAAATTGTTCATTCCACACAAAACCATTCGTAAATAAATAAATATTAGTATTCGTTCAGTAAATAATTACTGTAATATATAATCGCGTTTAAGATAATATGATATGTATTCCTTTCTAAATTCTAGACGGATCTACAAGCAATGGCGGATTTAGCGTTTTGGCGACCCTAGGCTTAATCATTCTGCCCCCCCCCCCTTATCACTCTACTAAAGAACCAACAATATTTGGTCTAAACACTTCTCTTGAAATTTTATTCAGTTTTTTTTATTAAAAAAAAAATATTAAATCTTTAAAATAGAAAACGTCTAAAAATATAATACTTCATGTCTATTATTTTACTACAGATACCATTATTACCAGTACAAATAAACAATACTTATACAGTCACATAACGGAAATATAAATAGCCAGATATGAAAATACCTATACTCGGATAGTCAGATGTTCCCAATAAGTACATAGGTACTAATAAGTTATTAATAATAACTAGTAACTATCTGTAATTATTTTATTACAAATGAAATATTTTCAAATTGTAATAATAATTGTAATATTCTTATTATAGCCTATAGGTACGCATCATACAATGTACATATTAATATATTAAAATAAATATACCTAATAGGTCAATAATAACTCTTAATTCTATAAAAAAAAAACCACCCTTCCAAAAAAGCCGCCCTAGGATATAAGCCTTTAGCCTGCCCTCTAATCCGCCACTGTCTACAAGTACATGAAGTCAACAAATGAAGGAGGAAAATTAAAAGTCTGTGCACCTTTGTCACTCTATGATTACATCACCGACACACAGATAAGTATTGTTATTGTTATCGTGGCAATAGCAAACAGAATGTCGTCGCCGACATCGAAAGTTGAGCAGATGCAAGACAACAGCTCTCGTGTCACGTAGCGGGTTCCGCGCGTGGGGTTGTCGCAGCGGTATGTGCGATACGAACACACGCATTACGAATAAACGCGTTATTTACGTAAACTTATGTATACATAAAGGCACACTGTGCCAGCAGTACTATAGTAGTAACTAAAGTAGGTAGTATAGTTTGTCGTACGACTTACACGATATTATATGTATATTATGTACGGGAGTCTTTCAAATGTTATTTGACAATGTAAAATAAAAGTAAAATTTTATCCGTTCTCTCTTCCAACACCGTTCGTTAGAACAGTTCTATAGTAAAGTCCTAGTTGACTGAGCATATTTCTGAATAGGAATTTAATTTTCAATAATTTAAACCTGGCGTTTATTATCTATTTCGATTTATTTCTCCGATTTAAGAAATATCTCCTTTACATTAGTTCGTGAATAATATTTGAACGCGAATCACATCGGCCACAGGGAAAGATATGAAGGTGGACACGCACGAGCGGCCGAATACGTTGCAGTCGGTGGCGGTCAACCTGGGTGGGTGATGGGTAGGAAGCGGTGGCGGCGCGCATATTGCACGACCACTTGCCGGGATTAGTGCGCACGTGTTCTCGACGTTGGCACGCGTCGCCGTCGCCGTCGTACGTGGATGCGAGCGGGGTCTACAAGTCACAAGTCTGAGTTTTATTTTTAAACGCTGACCGGCCGACCGCCCTGCCACCATTCGTCCCCGCGGTATAAATACTAAAAGAGATCGCTTAAAGTCGCCGCCCTTCCGTACACACACGCACACGCACACATACAGACGAGAGAGAGAGAGTGAGAGAGCGAGAGAGAGATGGCTGTTCATGTGCGCCCCCCCCGTGCGTTCGCGTGTGCGTGCGTGGTGCGTAGCGCGTACGCCGGCGGACGCGGCGTGATATAGTGTCGCACCGTCTCCGCACACGTACGTACGTAGCGCCGCCGCGGGCCCACTGCGAAACGCGCGATTCCACTCGACGACGACGACGACGACGCACCGGGCCGCGCTTGCACGTGTACTTCGCAACGCGTGTTGTACGCGTACACGGTAGGTACAGATATACAGGGTTTACAGGCTGCGCGCGTGATTTGCCGGCCGCGATCACGTTCACGTTCTCTGGACACGACATGTGGTCCGGGGTCGAACATCACGTGGCGCGATGAAGACGTGCGTAGCTGCCGTCGTCGCCGCCGAGCAGCAGAACCAGCAAGCAGCAGCAGAAGAACCAGCATCAGTGAGAGCGTGTCGTCCTCCTTCGCTTGGTGGCCGCCGATAAACACTACGGTAAGACGTTTGCGCCGATCACGTCCGTCTGCACGTCGCGCCCGCGTAATCGTGTTACGTGTGGACACCACCTCGAACAATCCGTGTTCGTGATCAACAAGTGTTGTATACATTAAAGAACTCTGTGTACCCAATATTATGCGGCTTAACGGGATAGACATTTACCGTGCACTGGTCGTTTCCGCAGAGATTTCGATCCTCGAGCACGTATACGATTTGAACACTGATTCGATTTCGTTTTCGGTGACCGACCCACCCTTACGCGAGTCTGAGATCCGTCGCTCTCCCGGAGCCGAGCTGAAGCGACGTGATAATATTGAG